TGTCAGAGAATTCATTGCCCTCTTCTGACTAACAATGATGCCAGGCATATGTATGGTGCACTTGCTTACAATACAGGCAAAATACTCATACATATTAAAAATATATTAATAAATGTTTTATAAGCTACAAATACTGATTATTGGTTTATTTTCCAAGGTAGATTATAAAATAGTGTGTAGGCAACAAAAGAACAGTGGGAGTGGAGGGAGGGAGTAGGCAGGAAGAAATATTGTTTTAAGAAGGATGGAGGAAAAGGAGAAGGCAAGGCTTCCCACAGAGTATTTTGCTTCTTATCCAGGTGATCACAAGAAATACAGAGACTTTCCTGTACTAGGGGCTCCTCTAGCCCTCTCATGCACAAAGGGTAGTCATCCTCAAGCTTAGGGGACAGAGAAAAACCTCATATGCTTTTTAGACACTTATGAGCATAAAGCCAAGTTATATACCTAACAAAGCAAACAGCAAGTCTCCTAATTTTGTTCTGTCCCTCTTCTAGCAGAATGGGTGGTCGCAGAACACAGCAGATGATTCTTAAGTAAGATCACACACAAAAGTATAAGTCAAAAAGATGGAATTTGATTTTAAAAAATAACACTCAGAAGTTCCTCCAGAGACTTTTTTCTGTTTTGCTGTTGACTTTGTTTTGGGCAGCACTGATAGGACACAAGGCTTTGTAAGTATGAAGATCTGAGGTCCATCACCAGAACCTATGTGAGAAATGGTAGCATACACTGATAACCCAAGCCCTCTGAAGGCAGAGGAGGCAGCTCCCTCATGCTTAGTGGATATCTAGCTTAGCCTATTTGGTGAATTACAGACCAATGAAAGATCCATTTTAAAAGCAAAGTAGACAGTAACTGAAAAACATGAAAGTTGTCCTCTGGCCTCCACACACAAATGCATATGTGCACATTCACACCTGTACATACACAACATGCATATACATGCACACACCAAAAAAAGGAAACATTTTATCAGTTCATAATTTTGTGGGCTCTAGACCAAGACCAAGTTGACCTCGGTGCTGTGGACCTCAGAGAGAGCAAAACATCACAAGTGAGAAATAAGAGTATATCAGCAAAACCACTCCCATGGTGAAAGCAAAAAGAGAAGGAAGAGACTGAGGTCCTACAGTCTTGGAGAACCTGCCACTAGCCCCCAACTGGTGCCCAGGCCTTTAACACATAGCAATTGGCATATCAGCTGTCTTTAAAAACACCAAATAATATTTTCTAAAAGATCACCAAGTAACAAGATCTTAAGCATAAAGTTTTTGATGGATTCTAGATTGAAAATGTCAAAGAAAAGCACTCATCTGTAAGAGGATCTAGGAATGAATTTGAATTATAGATAATATAAATCTAAGAGTTCTTGACAGAAACAAAATTCTTTAAGAACCGAGCTATTGTATCACTTACTGTCAGATACTCAGGAAACTTAAAGCATGTCTAAGTGTAGAAGTAGTGGTTCATTTTAACAATGCTGTGATTCTTGTAACATCTCTACTTCCAGGTATCTAAAATGTTAGGGGTGGATGTTCAACAAACCAAAATCTTCAATTGATTTGCCCCAGTAAGTAATAATGCAGAAGTGTTTAAATTGTTTTCCTACTAAGGAAAGTCAAGATAAAGACATAAACAAACATACTGTATTTTGAACTAAATAATTAGAAATTAGACGAATCCTCTTTCACTGGTGTTCCATTGCCTCCTCATATTCACTAAGTAAATACAGACAACAATCTCTCTTCAGTTCCATTTACTGAATTCAATTAACCACGTTAATTTGAACAGGGTTGAAATGGAAAACTGTGAAATATGGACTAAAATCCTCAATGAAGATATTAAAATGTTTTTATGTGATTGCTTTGATAACAAATACTATATGAGTCTCTTGAACATCCTCACTTTGAAAACTGTGAGTTAAAATCACTTATGTTAGTGAAATAGAGATACTTTTTGCAACCCAAAGCATTCAGCCTAGAGGTGGCAAGAAACCAGATACCTGGGTGAAATTTCCATGTGTGTCTAGAAGGAAACAGGTATCTTGCTCTAGCAAAGATCAAGTGGGAGCCCCTTTGAACAGTGCATAGGGACACCTACTATGGAAACCAGGGTTAGCAGGGATGGAAATGCAGTTGACAATCGACTCCAAGAGGAAAAGTCTAATAAAAGTGAAAAAGTGTTCTTGGCTATAAACCAGCCTCGTGAATTCATAATTAACCACAGTACTTTAGCTGCTTTATTTTGTATTCCTAGACAGCAATCTAAATTAGTCCAGACACTATGCCTGGCCTTTTAACCAGCGTATGTGCACCCTGGGATTCCTCATCTTCTTTCAGTCCCTCAATGGCAACATTTGTACTCCAATAAGGATGAGTACACCACATAAAAGAAGTAAGAGCTTTCATTCAAATTAAGGGAGTCTAGGCAAGCTAGAGATCTTACAGAAGAATTGGAGTCCCTAAGCTACAATGAGTAAAAGATACTGAAACACTAACATATCATGAATTCAAGGCACTACATAATAACATTAAAGTGTTTGTTCTGATAATGTTACACTGAATGTAAAATATGCAAAATGCTTGACACAGAAACAAAGCATTAAGAAATATATGTAACTAAGCATTTAGCGGATGAGAAAAAGATGCTTCCTTTTCTGTTTAGATGTGCCTCTAGAATCATCCACCTTTATGGGAAATTAAGTGAGAAGATCTAAACTGCCACAGAAATGAAGTTCATTCAAGTCTTTAGTTCACTCATTCTTTTCTTTGAAGCAAGGTTTACTGTGTATCAGAGGCTGTCCTTGTATCTACTGTATAGCTCAGTCTGGCATCTAATATGCAGCAATCTTCCTGCCTCAGGCCCCTTGGGTTACTGAGATTACAGGAGAGCACCACCATGCCCAACTAGGAAATCTTCTCATTTGATAAATTCAGCTATTCCCACCAAAAGTCTAAGTCAATTAATGTTTAGTTAGGCATAAATTATAGCCTTGTTAATTTTAAAAGTTCTTGGTATTTGGAAAAAAAATCTCAAAAATCACCAAACTATCCTTTCTTTAGAAATGCTAGGGGGCTGGAGAGATGGCTCAGCAGTTGAGAGCACCGACTGCTTTTCCAGAGATCCTAAGTTCAATTCCCAGTAACCACATGGTGGCTCACAACCATCTGTAATGGAATCTGATGCTCTCTTCTGATGTGTCTGAAGATAGTGACAGTGTACTCATATACATAAAATAAATAAAATTTTAAAAAAAGAAAAAAGAAATACTAAGTTTGGAACCCAGTAGCAATGGCCCATCGCTGCTGCTTGCCATTCTGTTTCCTGGGACAGTAAGAGATGCCCAGCTCACAAAGAAACAAAACTTATGGGGGAGGCGGAGTGGATATGATCAAATTACACAGTATGCAATTCTCTAACAAGTTAATTAAAATATCGTAATAAAATAACAATAAAAGAAAGTAATCAGAAAGAAAAATCTCTAGATGAGAACACGGGGGCGGGGCAGGGGGGAGGGGACCCTCAGAGATCTCCACCGAAGGGTTCCCTTCTTTATTATATGCCAATTTCCTGAAAGACGTTCTCTATAGTAGATTTCACTGGAACTCATCACCAACATTGAATCTTTACCTGCTTTCTAATCCACCAGATCCTGCATGTCCATTGCTAAGATTACATTTTATCTACTTCCTAGTCACACAGCCCTAACATACCCACCAGTGTGCCTGCTCTCTGAATGGGTAGATGCATGCATGAATGTGGCTTAAATAAATTTATAGTTTTTCTTCTTTTATGCCATTATAAACTGTAAGAATTATTGAATTACTAAATGAACTCTCTTGTGCCGTTGTAAACCATAGGAATTATGGAATTATTCAAATAATCTCTCTCTCTCTCTCTCTCTCTCTCTCTCTCTCTCTCTCTCTCTCTCTCTCTCCTCTCTCTCAGAAATATTTAGTTTGGCTCATAGTTACTGAAGGTTTTAATCTGTCATGGGACAGCAGGCATAGTGATTAAGTTCAGGGTGGAACGAGCATGTGACAGACTGTATGGTGTAGCAGTAAACACACAGCAAGGTGGAGTAAAGGCTAGGTACACTCTGCAGAGGCCTACCACCTAGGCACAACTCCCTAAAGCTTCAAACGCAGCGCCACCTGCTGGAGAAAAAGATTCAGAACCTGAGTGTGCAGGGGATATTTCCAATTCAGTCCATAAGATGTAGTTAACAACATTTTGTAGTCCATTTTTTACAAGGTTAGATAATTTAACCACGACAATCAGAAACAGATAACTGGAACTCAGACAAAAGGAAATAATAGTAAATGCGCTCATCGTCAGCCCCCTGTCTAAAATCACTTTTTCAGAATGAAATCTTAATCTACTGTTGAAAGAAATAACGCCATTACTTTTCTTCTTAAATTTTGCTGTCTATACCTGGCTAGTTTTTAATCCTAAAAAACAAAAGCTATCGCAATTTTAATTCACCAGAAAAAAAAAAAAACCTACTACTACTGTGTAGTTGTTTTGTAAGTTGGCCCGCTTGTGAGCCTACCAGAATGGAAATGGTTGTGGTTAGCTGTAGGATTCGTAGCATTAGTTTGGAATGCTTGCAAAGTTAACACTAAGTAAACAAAAAGCCTCAGATTTTTTATTTGAAAGTAGGTTTAGGAGAGATAATAGCTGCCCGTAAATGAAATGTAGTTCTACTGAAAGTGAGGCAGAGGGAGAATATTAAATGGATTGTGGGTGTGCCCACTGGAATCAAAGTCATTTTAGCAGTAATCACCTGCGTGTTCTCTCTCACTTTGTGAGAAAGACATGCTTCAATTAGTAGCTTCTGAAATGTCTTTCCATACACTGGATCTATCTGCAGATGAGAGGCCGTGGATAGGAAAGACAGAGCCCGAACTCAGAATCTAACCCCGAGAGAACCAAGTAAAAAGCTCAGTATCCAATCCCGAGAGAATCAAGAAAAAAGTATGGCCTGTGCTACTCACGGCTCTGCCTGGAGACTCCGGTCCTCCGCCACATAATTGGAAGGAATGTAGCCCTGCAGCTGCTGACCTAAGCCAGATCCCTTCTTCTCCAAATGCCTGGCCAACCACCAGCCCTCATGCGAAGTGTCCAAGACTTGGAGTTTGTCGCCGGCACGGAAGCTCAGGTCTTCTGCAGTACGAGCTTGGTAATCAAACAGAGCCACAAAATACTGGCCATGGCTTCTCTCGGGCTCTTGTGATCTGGGAGCCTCTGGGGGACAGTAGGCCCCTGGATTCTCAATCACCACTGACTTGTCTGCCTCTTGGGACCAGCAGGGGAGAAAAGGCTGCAGGTATGCCCAGAGCCGCACACAGACGCTGCCCATGGTGTTCTGGCTGGTAGTAAAGGGGTGTGGGGGGATAATCCTCTCCCCACAAGCTGTACAGAGCCACTGTCCTCCTCCACCAGCTTCCAAATCAGCTGCAACTCACCATATCAAGCAGACCTATAAAGTCCTGCTTCGGATCTCTCCGGCAGATCTGGGCTTGGCCAAGAAGACACTCACAGCTGGCTTTCTGTTTGTAGCTGCTGCCCTGGGGCAAAAATCAAGAGGGGACTGAGCAGGAGGTCCAGTGGGAAGTTGCTTCTTCCTGACTGCTTGGGGACCCAACAATAAACAAAATAAAAAGTGTCTTATTTAGAGAGACATCTGAGAACAAAGAACAGCCACCTCTCCCTCTGTCCCAGGAAAAAGTTCCGGAGAGACTGATTCCAGGCAAAAGCTCCCAGGCTGGCCTGCTCCAGCTGCTCTCACCCTGCTTCAAGCCTGCAGCTGAGCCAGTCCCGCTCTCCCCCGAGCTTTCCTTCTCGCTAATGAGTAACCAGGCCGTGGAGGTTATCGCCTTTAACATCCTGAGCTGTACGGACTGTAATAATTCCTCCTAACTTCCTGGTTTCTTTTTGTCTGATCTAAAAGGAACTCCCAGGTCAGCTTTACCCCTCCCTCCTCCCACACCCAGGATAAACCAACCCCCTTACCAAGAAGCCAGATTCTTAAAGCAGCCAAAACCCATACTCTAGAGAAACAGGCTAGCCCAGATGACTATCTGTCTTGTTATATTCCCAACACAGAATGCAAGGCAGAGATTTATTTCCCCACAAATATGAGCAGGATTGTTTTGATATTGGTAGCGAAAATTTTGAAAAGAGAAAACTGGGTGTTTAGGTATGTTCTGCCAGACATGGGGCAATTGGGAAGGAGCCATGAGTCCCTACCATTTTTTTTTTTAATCACCAGGAATAGATTTTAATAGCCTCAGTAGTTTCTGAAAAAAGTAGAAAAGCAGCTGGGTGAAATGCTGAGAACCCGAAAGGCTGCTTTTTCCCACAGAGACATTTCATTCCCCATCGCTATTTCTGTAGCGCATGCGCCCAAGAACACACAGGAGGAATAGGTGGCAGGCTGAAGAGAGCATTTGTAGAGATGCTGTCTGTTGAATTTGGACCTCAGGTCCATACTCATTCTGAGTCCGCGGTGGGTGTGGTGGGACCTCAGAACAACCGAGGCTCTGGTTAAGATAGCCATTCTGAGGCCAGCAGGATTTTGCCCTGCTTCCCCTGGTTCAGGGCCATTGTCGCCCTAGACCTCAGGAACAACTGTGCAAATTATCTGCACAGACTTTGCACTGGTAGAGAATACCGCAAAATTTCTCACTACGTGTCATTTGGTTAAAGTCAAAACACTTTGTTTTGTGTAAGGCATTTTAATTTTTTTTCTTGGATTTGGGATGTTCTTAGCAGTTGGCGGGCCTTGGCTTCAACACACCTATATGCCCCAAAATTCTCTCTCTTAAAGTAATTGTTCTATATATTGACAGAGCCTTGAGTCTGGCTAACCTAGCCCTAAGACTGTTCCAAAACCCCTGCCCTTCACTCAGTTGCACTCAGGTAGCAGTGGCAGGTGAGTTTTTTTGTGAGTTTTTTTGAGGCCAGCCTGGTATATATAGTGAGTTCTAAGACAGCCAGAGCAATATAGAGAGAGATTCTGTCAAATAAATAAATAAATAAATAAATAAATAAATAAATAAATAAAAATATTCAACTCAAATAGTAAAAAGCAAAGAAAAAACAAAAACAGAGACCCGTGCCCTCAGTCCCATTTACCTGTTTCAAAGCCAGGCTCGAGTATGCATCTCATCTGGTTAAAACATCTTGTATCTTCCTTTGAGATTCTTTGATGTTCCCTAGAATCATATACATGATCTAGAAGTAACGTTTTGCAAAAGCAGATAAAACACAGGTAGGCTTGCAGAGACGACCAGATGGGAAAGACGATAGCTATGTGACTATGAGGACCTGGATTTAGATTCTAGTGCCCAAGTGAAGAAAGCCAGGCATGATTACAACCCTGTCTCCCCAAGCTCTTGGGAGACAGGCAGGAGGCAGCTGCCAGCCTCAAGTTAAATACAATGAGAGACCATTTCTGAAGGGAATTAAGGTTGAAAATGACAACGAAGGACACCCAATGTCTTCCTCTGCCATCCGCAAACATGTACTCCCAAACATAGACACATATCCACATGTCTCACCCTCTCCCCCACCCCTTACACACACACACACACACACACAAAGAAAAAGCCAAATCCTGAGACCTATTTTCTTGTTTTATTTTAATAGCATGAGACCCAAAACAGAATGCACATGTATTCTTTATTTTATACAGAAATGAAAACAATGATCATGATACCAACAAATCATAACAAATACTATGCGCCAAGCACCATGAACTGTGAAGGTGTGATATCTTCTTGATGCCTTTAAACAAGGCTGCAGACACTGTGGTCTCTCCTGCGACATCCATATGATCTTGAAACAGGAAAAAAGTTGGAAGGTCCATCAGGCAGAGGTGGACCCAAACTCAACTGTAAGTGGATTTAAGACTCCAAATCCTTTGCTACCTTAAATTTCAATGTGCCTTCACTGTGACTAGGTCAAAATATTGTGGGAAAGGACAGTAACAAACAGTCCAGTGCAGCCACTGAGCAGTCGGAGAAACTGAAATAGTACCAACCACCCAAGGATGTCAGGAAAGCAATGGCCTGGGAACCTGAGGCCGGTGAGAAAGGGTTTGCTCATGTCAGTGACACTGGAGCTCTCCTGTGCACCCAAGCTTCAAGCCTGACAGGTGGCTTTGACACATTCCCTGGCTGCTTTTAGCTAGTCAGTCACCTAGATCTGCTCAGCCTTCCTTTTCATTTACTCCACAAACTAAAACAAAACAAAACAAAACAAAAAACAAACAAACAAAAACCCTCTATCCGAATGACAGCTGGTCACTGAACAGAAAATAGAAAGTTCCAGAGTCTTCACTGGCTTCTCTTCCTCCCGATCATTCTTATCTCCAGTTTGCGGAACCCTGAGGTAGATGGCCAGTGACTGTGGCAAGAACACAAGCAGCCACATCTATCAGTGTTGAAGGGTTTCAGTGTTCCGAGAACCAGACTAGGAATGATTCAGTCCTTAAAGAACAAGGTCTGTGAAGGAGCTATGTGGTCCTATTTTGTTTTGAGAGGAAACTGAGGCTTAGAGAGGTTAGGTGGCTTACCCAAGTGGTTGAACCATGAGTAGTAGCAAGTAAACAAACAAACAAACAAACAAACAAATAAATCTGATGCCTTGTTTCAAGGCTAAATTCTCCAGCAGCCTCCACCATGTTTGGAATGAAAACTAAATTCAAATCACACAACATCATGGTCTCTCTCTCCTGTGTGTAAGACCTGTTACTCAGGTCCCAAAACTACCTGCTACCACAGCTCCTGACAACAGAGTCCGTACTCCCTACTGTGCCACAGCCTCCTCCTCTCACTCCTCTGCAGACCTCCTTGTCATTTCTCCATGCTGGCTTCAGTGTCATCTTCTCTGACATAACAGATCAGTACTTTGTGACCTGCTGACGTTTCTCACTGAGCCACTCTTGGTCCCCTTATTATTTGCTTTTCTCAGACAAGAACCCCGTTCTCTGAATGTTTGATGCCTCCCGTAATGGGTGCAATGTAAGTAGTAGAAAGTTCGTGAATGACTTAGTTCACAAGGACGGAAAGTAAGAGATGCATATGGAGAAGGGGGGGAGGGCAGAGAGGGTGAAGACAGAAAGGAAAGGAGGAGAAAGTGAGGGGGGTGGGAAATGGGGTTAATGGATTTGAGGTAAGACCACGCTTTTCAAATCCCTGACCACAGTGGGGGTGGGGGTGGTGAAAATGGCCTCAAGCACAGTGCAGAAGGCTTTTTGAAGATGCATCTCTTAAGGCTTTACTGAACCAGCTCCCCAGACCAGCTTTCCTTCCTCGGTCACTGTCCCTCTAATCCTTATACCAAGCTTCCAGAATACATTAATAAAGTCCTTCTCTTGCACAATAACCTTCAGCAGATCCTCACTGCTTTAAAAAAAAAAAGATATATATATTGCTTGGAATCAAAGCAGAGGAATGCACTCTTTATCCAGACTTTATCAGGGGCCTTTTGACATCCCGCTCCATTACTGCCCTGCATTAGTCCTCCGGCTCAACCAGATTGGTTTATTGAGGCTCCCAGTAAGCCTTATCTGTTCCCACATCTGGTTCTGTCTCCTCTGACATTCTTTTGCTCAGCATTCCTTCTCCTCCCGGAAGATTCTGGCCTGCATTTCAAAGTCTGAATAAAATTCCTATTACTTCCTCGAAGCCTTCCTCTGGGCATCCCAGCCAAAACCAACTTCCCTTCCTCTGAGACTTTTCTGGCTCTGCATCCCCTGCTCCTGGTAGCTACTGCCTTAAGTGAATTTAATCACCCTCCTGCGTCTGCTTTGCAGAGTACCTCAGTTCTCCACAACCATTTCTGTGCCAGTTCATGGTTTGTCAGTTCCTGCAATCTCCACAGCACTGCTAAATCACTCACCAGTCTGCCAGACTCAGTGGACTCCACCTTCTCTGCTGACTTTGTCAAAGAATCGCACTGAAATGTCAACTCTGGTTGATATAATTTCCTTTGCTTACATTAAAGACAACAGTGAAACATCACCTACTTAACATACACACTGTCTTTCCTCTAGGAACAATTATTTCTACTGCTCACCCAATGCCCATGTTCTTTCTTTCCTTTCTTTACTGTTACTGATACATTTTGAAAAAAGCAAAGGCCTTTTTCTTTACATTTCTTCTAAGTCATAAGTGACCAAAAGAAAAGCAGGCAGAACTCCTTAGGTGAAAAAGTACTAAAGGCATGGGCTCAGCTGGACAATCTCGTCTCTTCCTCTACAATCTCTTTCCTTTTGTGAAGAACTCACTTGAGACAGGTTAGAATAGAAAAAACAAAATAAAACAAAACATACAAACAAAAAACCCTCCTGGCAAGAGAATAATGCCTC